TTGCTTTATATATTTCCAACTAGTGCCAATCAGTGTGCAGTTAGGAAAACAAGTATCACCAGTCAAGAAAAAACCTCCCAGCATTACTTCTACATGTTGCTTTACTTTGGTAATTCTTGTTTTGCATTACATAAATTTCTTTTAGGTAAAAATGATTATTTGAAATATCAGTTGTATGAAGTTGGCAGATAATTTTCAAGGAAGTCAGAATTTGTTTCAGCTTCATCTCTGCATGATTTATATAACTTATTTATCATGTTTGTTCATGTGGTTTTCGTTTCGATCAACTTTTATGAATTAATTCTTAAGGATGAGAAAATAAATGCAATTAACTGATATCAATGCCGTTGCTTCTATTAAACTGACAAGCCAATGCTGTTAAGACAGGAAGCACATAACAGGGCTCAAACTAGTGATTCTATTGCAGATTAGGAAAACTCAAAAACATATTTTCAACAGACAAAGCAAAACAAACAAGCCACCTAAGAGATGTCTTCTTGATTTTTTTCAGAATGGATCTGTAGCATCTCAATACAACTGCAACCACAAAAATTTCAGTTTGCTTGCATCAAGATTATTTTGGTACTTCTATCAGTACCACGGGTGTGAACTACATACTTTCTGAGATAATCCCATCCAAAGACACGACCACCACAACAGAGATACAAAATTTCAGTCACAAGAGGTTCATTTAGTGGTTTTAGAGAATAACATCATCTTTTTCATAATTAAGTTCATGTTGTGGTTTATCATATTAAACTATATTCAACACTTCGAAAAAAAAAGAGAAAAGAAAAAAATCAATTAAACATTACAAATCCATTATTCTCGTTTGTGTTGTTCATCTACGTATATAAGGGTTTCAATAGATATCCTATGAATTTTGATCATTTGATGCCATCTCCATTCACGCTAAGGAATTACGTCTAACTAAATTTTGAAGAACATAATTACTTTCAGGTAATTATTTCTGGGTTCCACTCTCATCAAAATACTTGATGTTGAGGAAGCTACAAGCAATTCCAAAATTCAAACTATTAAGAACATAAATTCAGATCATGTCTCATCTCTTGACTTAAGCTTTTAGATGCAATGATATTGATAAAAAATTGAAGACAAGTCATATTCTCTTTTATGTTGTTCATCTACATATATAAGGGTTTCAATAGATATCCTATGGATTTTGATCATTTGATGCCATCTCCACTCATGATAAGGAATTATGCCTAACTAAATCTGAAGAACATAATTACTTTCAGGTAATTATTTCTGGGTTCCGCTCTCATCAAAATACTTGATGTTGTTGAAGCTACAAGCAATTCCAAAATTCAAACTATTAAGAATATAAATTCAGATCATGTCTCTGTTGGGCTGGCAGCCCATAGATTCAGCCCAGAGTGGGCTTTATCAGCCCATAGTCCACCCCCCTTTGACCTAACCCTAGATCAAAGTTTTAGGGGAGTGAGGGGGCTGCGTTTTTGGTGCAGAAAAAAACTGCAGCCACGAGCAGTTTTTGGCAACAACTGTTGAATCTCGTATTTTGATAATGAAACCACTTGATATGTGTTGTTTATATTTTAATCTGCGTTTTGAGTGACGCAGGATGCTTCGATCAGGATGAGACAATTAAAGTAGGAAAAATCATGTTGTGCCGGAGGAACATGTCAGAAGATTGGACGTCGGGCCGATGGATCGGTCGACGTATCGACAGAAGGCTTCGGGCCGTGGACTTGGGCATCGGGCCAAGAAGAGCGGGTATTGTGCCAAGGATATCGGAGTTGCGGAGTCAACTGGCCGATTGGGCAATAGGCCGTAGGAGAGAACGATGCGCCGAAGAATCGGACGAAGCGTCGAGGGACCAATGACATGCCGGACAACTTAGTTAATTGCTTAGGATTAATTGTCTCGATCGAAGTTTTGTTTTAAGTGTGCAGGATTAACTACGATGAAAGTAAGACATGCAGTAGGAGTTGAGTCGGAGTCAAAGAGTATGATCACGTTGGGAGTTCGAGAGCTCGACAGAAGTTCGGGTAGTCGTCGGAGGTTCTGCGGGAACAAATCCGAGAAGTCCAGGAGCTTGCCAAGAGAAGCTCATCAGAACTCGCCAAGTGGATCGTCGCAAGTCCAGGAGTTTGCCGGAAGTCCGTCGGAGCATCGCCGGAGGTTCGTCGAATGTTCGCCGGAAGTTCGTCGGAAGAAGCGATTGACGCACCAGAGCAAGCTGTAGTAAATATCTTAAGAATTGTCGTAGTTAGCATGTAGATTAAGTTAGGAATGGGAGGTGATCCCATTAACTTAATCTAGGGGCAATTGGGCCCTTGATAGACCCAAATTGGGCCGAATGGATCAACCCATTTGGACCAGAATTCCTACTAGGCGGTGGCACCGCCAGGGTCGGCGGTGGAACCGCCCAGGAAAGGGTCTCCCAGGAAAGCTGGGCGGTGCAACCGCCCCAGGCAGGCGGTGGCACCGCTTGGGCTCAGTCTCCGAGCGAGACTGGGCGGTGCAACTACCCCTGACGGGCAGTGGCACCGCTAGGGCTCAGTCTCCGAGCGAGACTGGGCGGTGGCACCGCCCAGAGGCTCAGTCTCCGAGCTTTGCCAAGCGGTGCAACCGCCCCTGACAAGCGGTGGCACCGCCGAGAGGCTCAGTCTCCGAGCTCTGCCAGGCGGTGCAACTGCCAGACCCCGGAATTCCGGGAGATGACAGTTTTGGGCTCGGAATTCAAACTGGTTTGGAGCCTATAAATACCCCTCCCATCCCTAGGTAAAACATACAAGCACAGAGAGATTAAAAGAGAGAAAACGCTGCTGCAATCTCTAGAATTTCCCTCCTCTAGCTTAAGTGTTAGAATTCTGTTTAAGAGAGGAGAATGAGTGCTTGTAAGGGTTGTCTCCTAAACCCAGTAAAAGGAGAAGAGGGGTGTAAGAAGGAGATTGATCTTCGCCTAGTAAAGGAAGATCGTTAGTGGATGCCGGTGGCCTCGACGGAAGAGGAATCAGAGGAGTAGATGTAGGTCACGATTGACCGAACCACTATAAACTCTCGTCTTCTCTGGTTTGCATTTACTTTGAGCATCTTATCTTTACTGCAAACCTCCTCAGTAGCTTACTGCTTTCTGCTCATTTACAAATGTGTTTCTTAGTTAAGTATTTTCCGAATCGGCGTTAAGACGGAAATCGATTTTATCGTATGAACATCATATTTCAGTTTGCGCTTACATTCTGATTTTTATCTTAACTGCAAACTGCCTTCCTTACTTTACTTCAAATATGTTTCCGTAAGCTTTCAAAGTTATTATCTGCACGAAATGACTTTTACGTCGGAATCGGATTTCAACGTACGAACGCAGTTTTAATCGTCGAAAGTTTTCCGCTGCACTAATTCACCCCCCCCCTCTTAGTGCTCTTGATCCTAACAACAACAACTTGATTCAAGAAAGAGAAGAAAACAAGGACAACGCAGAGAGACTGTTCTCAATCATTTAGCAGTGTTATTATCTCAGGTTAGATCAGATCTACAATAGATTCTTGCTGTGATTACTTAGGGAGAATTTAGATATTGTGCACAGTGACGTGATCCTTGTATCCCAGTTATTCTCTTGTGATTGTTGCTAGGGTTTTGGGCAAGAGATTGAGATTCGTATCTTTATTATTCTCATAGTGGATTATCTTTAGTTTGCCCTGTGGTTTTTACCATTCATATTGGAGGGATTTTCCACGTATATCTTGGTGTTCTATTTGATTGTGATTCCACTTAATTCTGCTGCGTGTTATGGCCCGCTAGTATTTGTTCATATACAAAAGTTTATTTCTCTTTATATCCAATCAACCGGTATTAGAGCAGGGTTTTAGTGATTTAATTTTGTGTTTGAACATGGAGGAGGTCAGTAATGTTTCTCGCATGATTAGTTTGAATGAAAACAATTAGATGATATGGAAACCAAGAATGAAAGATCTCTTGTACTGTAAAGATTTATATGGACCTTTGCAAGGGGATAGTGCAAAACCCACAACTATAACAAATGATGAGTGGAAGAGGTTAGATCGAAAAATAGTTGAGTTTATTCGATAGTGGCTTGATGATAGTGTCTTTCACCATGTTTCTACTAAAATTTCTACATATTCTCTTTGGAAAAAGTTGGAAAGTCTCTATGAAAGAAAAACAACTGGCAACAAAACTTTTTTGATCATAAAACTTGTGAACCTAAAATATAGAGAGGTTGCTTCTATTGTTGAGTATTTGAATGAAATGCAGAGTATCACTAACCAGTTATCCTCTATGAAAATATCTCTTGATGATGAGTTGTAGGCATTGCTAGAAAGTTAGGAGACACTGGTGGTTTCCTTCAATAATTCTGTGCCAGATGGTGTTGTCACTATGAGTCAAGTAACAAGCTGTTTGTTGAATAAGGAGTTGAGAAGAAAGAACTCAATAACATCTCAGAATGATTCA